CCTGTATTGTATCTGAACACTGTGTTCTACAAAAGATGCTCTCATTCAATAAGGGAAGCTTGGAGCTTGCTACAGACACCACAGGCTTTGCTTGCACAAGCAGAGATGTTTAGGTTTCAAAACCAAGGTGTGTTAGGCAAGAAAGCCACAATAATCATGTTAGTAATTAAGTTATTTCAGAGACGTGCATCTCTCTGATGCTGAAAACGTCTGCGTTGTTTCAACTACATCTGAAAGAGTGTATTGTAAACAGCAATCTTCCCTCTAAATTGGTTTGTTTTCTTAAACTGGTTCAAGTGCAGGATCTCTAGGTGCAGAATGAAGAATAGTAATAGGTTTGGTTATGAAATTTACCTGTTCCGGTAGGAATATACTGAGCTGGAGGGCAGTGGAAGGGAGGAAAATGCACCTCTGTTGGTTTGTACATCCCCAATACAGATTATTGGGTCTGTTAGCTCATGTTTGCTTATTTAACTGTGCAGTCTTGCACTTCAGCAAGACTTTAAAGACAGTAGTTAGAAGCTTGTTTGCAATGAAAAGTACATTAAATGTCTATTTTGGGTTGCATTTAGGATAAATGCATATTTGATGTACAGATATTATCAGCGTTGTGATGAGAAGTCTGCAAGAGAATTCTACTCGTTGTCCATACGGGCTGGGTGTCAAGTGCTGGTTGTGGCTTCTGGGCCGTCCTGTGGGTGCTGTTTGATGCCGCACGTGTGGGTCAGGACGGTGGGTGCTGCTGCCTGGCCTGTTATGACCCGTGTTTGCATGTCTTCAACGAGCCCCTTGGTGAGATGCAGTAGTTCAGGTGCAATGCTAGAAGCAGTTCCCCTCCAAGGCAATACAAATTACTAAAAGTGTAGGTGGTTTGGGGAAGGCTGCCTGTTCTGGCCACATGTGCTACATAAGATATCAAATGTGGCAAAACTTTCTTTTCTATAAGCAGGTTTCTGTAGCAGGTTGTTTAGCTTCTGATCTCATATATAGTGCTACTGAATTTTCTTAGCAAACGCTTTCCACTGTTATCATTCACTTATTCTCAAAATGCTAGAAAATTCCTTTTTGAAAATCCTTTTTATAAGATATGAGAAAATACTCAAAATGAGGAGCGAATGCTACAGGACTATAACTAGTCTGCATTGAATAGGGAAAAAAAAATCCTTGGAAGATTTGCTATAACAAGAAGAAAAAATGACTAGGTTGAAGCAGTAACAAATGTAGTTCATGCAAGTCTAAATCATCCTGTGTACACTTGCAGAGTGCCTTCCAGCATAACTTCTGTTTCTGTGGGGGTGACTGCAGATAGGTAGCTTTTCATTTTATATAATTAGTGTCTACAAATATTCCTCAAAACTAAGTCATGGAAGAATCACCAATTCTGTCATGCAAATCTTTGCTCCTACCCTGCTGCCCCTGTGTCACTGCTTATTTTATTTTTAACACCCGTTTCTGACCTTGACAAATAATCTCTCCAGTTATTATTAGCATTGCAGTTTCCATCAATTTATAACATAAGTTTGTTATGTAAGTGAAATTACTTTCCTTGCTCGGTTGAGATTTTTAGTCCTTCTCCTTTCATTTTCTAAATGAAAATTAAGTCTTATTGAAAAATCTGAAATTGTAATTGCTATGTGTGTAAAATATGATATTAAAGTAAATTTTTTTCCATAACTTTATTTTAAGTGGAGGGTATTCCTGAATGTATCCTGTCATTATTAACACCTTGCTGTGAAGAAAATGATATTTCTCAGGATTACACGTTCTTGTTGTTTACACAGCTGTGTTCTCTGCAGATGGCCGCTTCCGAGAAACCTACCTCTTTCTGAAGAACTTTTCCCATTCAGTGGCACTGGGTTTTGTATCGGGCATATGTCTAGCTCCTTTTTAGAACTAGACAGCCTTTTTTCCTGTAGCTGATGCTTATTTCATGTAATTTTCTACCTCTTTATTTCCTCCTAATTGACTTAGCTTTTACTTGAGCGCTGTTTACTATTTAGAACCTTATAGCAAATCTCCTATACAGATTTTATTGTTAGCTCAACCCTAGACTGACAGAGTTCAGGGTAACCTTGACCGCATCTGATGAGGTCAGGATGAGGTGTTGATCACACTTTAGATAGGCTTCAAATGGGTTTCTGATCTGTTTCAAACAGCCTCTGTTTTAGAGCTTGTGTGTGTGTACAAATATATATTTGACAACCCATAATGTATGTATAAATGTATGTTTAACCAACAACCCATAGAATTTGACACACTTGGAAAAGCGATGTTCCATTCCAAAGCTAAGATAGTTACTGTAGTGGCTCTGACTTTTTCAGTTCTTTCTAACTTCTTTCTTCTTCCAGTTCTAACTTTTCCAGTTCTGGGCTCCCTAGAAAAGAGGGATGTGGAGCTGTTGGAGAGAGTCCAGCGCGGGGCTACGAGGATGATCAGGGGCCTGGAACATCTGCCCTAAGAGCAAAGGCTGAGAGAGCTGGGTCTGTTCAGCCTGGAGAAGAGAAGGCTGAGGGGGGACCTGATCAGTATCTATAAATACCTCAAGGGAGGGAGTGAGGAGGAGGGGTCCGGCCTCTTTTCAGTGGTGGCCAGCGATAGGACAAGAGACTACAGACTGAAGCTCCGAAAGTTCCACAGGAACTTAAGGAAACATTTCTTGACAGTGAGGGTGGCAGAGCCCTGGAATAGGCTGCCCAGGGAGGTTGTGGAGTCTCCTTCTTTGGAGATCTTTAAAACCCGCTTGGATGCAGCCCTGGGCCACATGCTCTAGGTGACCCTGCGTGTGCAGGGGGGTTGAACTAGATGACCTTCCAACTTTACGGATTCTATGATTCTATGAACTTAGCCATAACAAAAAGAAAGGATACTGCACAGCTAAGAGTTCAACACTACCCAGAAGGTAGTGACAGCTCCTTAGCTGCTCCATGTAGATCATAGGAGTCCAAGGTCAGATTAATCTTCACGTAAAAGCTGATGCTGCTGGTGGTGCCTGCCAGGACAGCTGCGACTTTTTGTTCCATCTAATTTTCATCATGGTCAAGCACTGGAACAGACTGCCGGAGAAGTGGTGGAGTCGCTGTCCCTGGTGGTGTTCAAGAAACAGGCAGAGGAGGCACTTAGGGAGATGGTTTAGTTGGCAGGGTGGTGATGGGCCTACGGTTGGACTCGGTGATCTTGAAGGTCTTTTTCAGCCATAAAGGTTCTATGGTAATGAGGCAGAAGGGAGGAGGATCTCTTTCTGAAGTCATGCGGAACTCATCTGCTGGTTTGACCAAGCCAGCCTCGTGATTGATAAAACATTCAAAACTACTGCAAATTTTGCCAAGAAATACAACTCATTAAGTGATATGGCAGATGAAAGCCATTGATCAAATGACGAAGTAGAGCATTTCTGAAGCTGATGCCTTCTATTTCCTTGTTACTGATCTGAATGTTGCAGATGCAGCTTTTATGCTCTTACTATTCTATGAGCTTAACTGGTAGGATAATTCAGGAGTGAGTCGTGTGAGATAAGACAACTGTGAGCAAAGTAACCTACCTGAGGTGGTTAAAGGTGTCAGCAAAGTGATAGCTGTAATTCTGAGATTCTTCCAGTGGAGACACTTGAGCTTTAGGGTTGCAGTACTGAAGAGTAGCCTTAGAGTGCAGTTCTGCAAGTGTTTCGAAGGAGCACTTCTGCCCACCTTCTGCCCATCTTTCTCTATCTAGTCTGTACTCTTTCCCTTCTGCCATCATGACTATACCGATAGCAATACAGTGAACTGGACTGTGAAGTTAGAACAAACTAACAAATACTGCCTTACCTCAATTCAGTTTTAACTCACATCAGATAATTTAATCACAAATATGAGAGAAGGTTGCCTGTTTTGGTGACAATGTCTTTTTTGTTGTTGTTGTTTAGGATGCTTGAAACTGCAGTGTTGGACCTGTCAGAAAATTGGTGTTATACCAAAAGTTTGAAGTTTCTATATTGTTTGTAATACAATTTATAGTTACCTAATTCTGACTGAAGTCCTGCACACCTTTCCTCATGTTTTTTTTGTTTGTTTGTTTGCCTGAGATGAGAAGCTACTTCTGCAAGCCTCTTTGGCTTCTCTCTTTGGGTGGGCAAGTCTCTTGGGTGGGCAGGGACTTTTTTTTTCATTTCCTTGTATTTGGTGTTCCGGTCAAATTGTCTCTTGCAAACTGTATGAGACAGAAGTTGACTTCTGGTCAGTGTGATACAAGAAGTAGCACGGCATAGTACAGAGCAGAAAAGCTGATACAGAGTGCAGATCTCAGAGTAAGAATGTCCTTACAAAGTGTTTTACTAACTTGCATCAAAACAGCAGCTTCTTCTAAATTCCAGAAAACTCACAAGTAATTCAGGGAATTTAAATAATACATGAATAAATATTTTCACAGGGGAAGGGACAAAACAGAAAATCTAGGGTGGTTTCTAAAAGGTAAATGGTTTTTATTGTTTAAAGTCTGGTTTTCCTCGTTCCTTCTTAGATTGTCTTTCTTGGATAAAATGTCTTTTATAAAGGCTTTTTTCAGTAATCGGGGCTAGACGTCCTGAGTCTGAGCTGATGAGTGTGTGTAGTTATCTGGCAGCACAAAAACTTTGCATATTTTCTAATGGTGATAAACCTAAAATGGGGTCAGTGTATCAAACAGTAGACTCTAAACTTTACTGGATATATCTGAATGTTGAAAGCCTGCTGAGAGACCTAGAGCAGTTTATTTTAGTCTTGCAACTGGGAAGGAAAAATCCCTCAGTTCTTAAGAAGTAAATTGAGCTAAGATCACAGCATATCAGCAACCTTATTAATACGCCAATTCTTTTTTTTTCTTTTTTTTTCCAAAAGAATTGAAATGGTACTTCATGCTTCAACAATAAATTTTATTAGTGAATTGTGCTAATAATCTATTGCTGTGTTTAATTCTCATCTTGCCTTTAGTAGTAAGCTTGCTATATCTTGTAACATATGATTCTAATAACTCTTACTTTTTTACAGATAACTACCCTTATCAATCATAAGGATAAACCAAAGCGTTCAGACAAGACTCTGCAAGCAATTCAGCGGGTGGGTCAAGCAGTTAACTTGGCAGTTGCAAGGTTTGTAACTGTGGGCGAAGCCATAGCTGATGAAAATCATGAATTGAAAGAGGAAATGAATGTTGCTTGCATCGAGGCAAAGAGAGCAGGTATGTTGTTATTCAGGTAATTTGTAACCTCTTGTGTTTATGCCGCTTCTGGTTCTCAGTATGTTTAATGTCAGTAATAATGTAAGAAATCCAACTGGTTGTTTAGAAACAACCCTCTTGACCCTCTCTTGCTGTCTCACTTGATTCCTGATTTGTTACCTGAACTCCTCACATATTATGAGGAGGGGATAGACTTGTGTGGTAGCTTTTATGTGATCTGCTGCCTTTGTCTGAGTAATTTGTAGGGCTGCACTGATCTTGAGCCGGGAGGATTAATCCTCTTGGACCCTTTGCCTTCTAGGGGCCTAACCTGTTGGATTCCTCCAAGCAGGTCACTGAAGAATCTAAAGTTTGCTCTCGTGAAGTCCATGATTCTGATCATACATATCGTCCTACTTTCTACTCACAGGAGCCTATTTAATCTTTGTTTTAGCTAATTAATTAGATGCTACCTGGAAGATACAGGGAGATGTGAAGAGGAAGAGAACTGCTAGATATCAAAGATAAGTTTTCATGCTAGGATTTAGATCAGTTGAAGCATCTCAACTGTGAAGAGAAGTCTAGAGTCTTTAAATTCATTGCCTATCCAGCATAGGCTTTGAAGGAAGACGAGCCTGAATTTTGTAGGGTAGTCTGTAAACTGAGGTATTTTAGACTTGGTATGGTACTTCCTTATAATAAATGTTGATTGTCTGAAGTAAAATAGAATTATCAAACTCACACTCCAAGTAGGTCTTCTAACACTATTCTTGCATTGTTTCAGTGTTACAAAGACAGTTTAGTAGAAAATATCTCCAAGAAGCACATTCCTTCATGCCCATTTTTTTTTAAAGGAAAGATATGGAACAATAAACATCTGTTGTATATTTTTGCCATTAATTCCTGTGAGGAAGGAGTAAGGAGGAATAATAATAATAATAATAAAGCAACAGTTTTAAATGAACAAATAGAATAATTTATGTTGGAAAGGACTTTCTAGTGGTCATCTAATTCAACAGATCCAGTTAAAGCAGGAGGCCCAGGCTATTGCCCTGTTGACTTCCAAATATCTTTAACGTGCAACTTCTCACCACGCTTCTCCAAATGTTTGACTACCCTCATGCTGGAAGAAGCCTTTTATTTTAACATTTTTTTCTGTGATACAACTGCATCACTTCTGCGTGTTACTTATTCTGTCAGCATGCACCTCTGAGAATAGTCTCTGGCTGGTCTCAAAGAAACATGTTCCTATCTTCTTCATCCATGCCATTAGGGTAGCTGTAGGAAACTACAGTAAACTCTGCCATTAGTCTTCTCTTAATGCTGAAAAAACCTCATTCCTTCAAACTCCCCTCTTATATCACATGTTCCATTCTATCAGTGCCTGTGATGGGCACTCTCAAATGGGACACAACACTCCAGATGCTGTCTCCCTTGAAAAGGAAAAATCTCTTCCGTCAACCTATTGCCTACTCTCCTGCTAATAAGAAGGCCAGCATCTGGCTACCTGCTTTTGCCATCCCTTTTTTACTGGATGATGAGGTGAGTTCTTTGTGCATTTCTCTGCAAAGGTTCCCTCAAGGTGGCTGACCCCAGTCTGTTACATGGCATTATGTGGTGTTGTGTGGTCTTATCCTCACAGAGACACATAACTTGCCTGTCTTGGACTTCATGAACGTCCCGGCAGACCCTTTTTCCAGCTTGTCTAGGCCCTTCTGTCTAGCAGCCCTGTCCTGCGGGTTGAACACTGCCACAGTTTGGTACTGTCCACAAGCTTGCTAAATGCACATCCTATCCCAAAGTCTAGTTTACTAATGAAGATGCTAAACAGTGATGGCACCCTGCTGCTCCTTGAGGGGTGCAGACGGTAGCTGAACACCAGCTGGACTTTGTACCAGTCCTTTGAGCACAACAGTTCAGTCAGTTTTCCGTGCGCCTTTTTGTTCACTTCCACAATTCATCTCCCTCAGCCTGGTTATAGGAATACTATGGGAGACCGTGTTAAGACCTTGAGAAGGTCAAGACACACTTGCTTGTCCACGGTAGGAGGCATCTCATCATAGAAGGCATTCAGGTTGATCAGGCACTCTCTGCCCTTTTAAGTTGGTGCCAGTTCTATCACATTACCTTTTTTTCTGCTTCCTATGGAAGTGGCTTCCAGTATTATTTTTATTAATATTCCTAGTGTGAGAATGGTTGTAATTCCCTAAGTTTTGCTCCCTACCCGTCTTAAAGATAGATTTGACAATTGCCTTTTTGAATTATTGTAGTTCTTCCCCTGATCGCAATGGTTTCAAATGTGATAAAAATGTGATAAAAAGTAACCTTACAGGGACACTGAGTTCCTGGAGTTCCATAGAGCTGTTGCAGCTATTTCTCTTTTCTGATTATTTTGTGAGACATTAGGCTGCTTTTTAAAAAGGGGAAAATCCTTTAGCATAAGGAAAGATCTTTCCTTTCCTTTTTCCTATGCATCTTTCTTTGGTTACCGAAAAAACTCTCTTTTTGTTACTTTTTTTCTTTGTATTGCTACAGCATTTTATCTTGTCATGTATGTTTTGGGAGGGCAAAGGAAGAGGGCGGGATTATTTTCCAGACAAATAATTCCAGTTAGAGAATGGAGTGACTAGAAGTCATTCTGATTATGGGGAAAGCAATGACCAGTATGTTTCAGCATGAAATAGTCTTTTTATCCACAGAAGGCTCGTCTTACAACTTCACTTTGAGTGTATATGACTGCCAATGTTCTTGCATGTGGAGGTATTAGTTATACTTTTTTAAGTTTTCTTAAAGTTTCTTTAAGAAAGTTTAAGTTTCTTTAAGAAAAGAAACTTTAAGTTTCTTTTAAGTTTTCTTAAGTTTCTATTTAGCTCCTTCAACTATGGAAATTACTTTGACAAGCATCTCCAAGTGTATACTCCCCTGTAAATCACACTTAATACTTCTAACAGAGAGACTTTCTGATTATTCCTAACCTATTATCACATGAACTGGTCCCAGGAAGATACAGGATGTTTCCTGCCAGAATGCGATATCAATTCAGATCTATTCTATCAATAAATTCTATTAAGAACTCAGGGTTTATAGTGGTTGTGGAAATGAAATCTGTGTGTGAACTACATGAACAATATGAGTATATAGTATAAATGTCACAGATTATAGGAATGCTAACTGGAATTTGGAAAATAAAAGGGAATTTGGAAAATGAAAGAGAATTTATAGCTTTTTTTTCCTTCTTGTTTCATTTTGTCCAGGCTCAAGGTTATGTCTGTGTAGGCAGTGATTCAACTTCTGCTATTGAAATTGAAAAACTGTCCCCCATGTGTGTAGGAAACAGTTGTTTAATCCACCAAACATAAGTCAAGTGTGCTTAATGGCCTATTTTCTTTTTTTATAACTATAAAACTTCATTTATTTATTAATTTTTCTCAACAGGTGAAACTATTGCTCAGCTTACAGATGTAGCAAGCTTGTATCATCCAGAATCTGATAGCCACATAACAATTTTTACAGACAAAACAGGCATTGTTAAAGCTGCAAGGTTGCTACTCTCTTCTGTGACAAAGGTGCTTGTGTTAGCGGACCGAATCGTTATTAAGCAGATTATAACTTCCAGAAACAAGGTATTTGTAGCTTTTTTATCTTTCTTTTATTTTGTTTAACTGGTGTCTGCAGGCAGAACAAAAGAGTTGGGTCCTAAAAGAACTGGAATTTTCATTGTATTTCTAGGAAAAGTGTAAATAAAGTGACTAAAGTAAGTGTCTTATGCCTTTACCTCCAAAATATGTGAAATGGTGGTTAAGTCAGCAAGAATAAAATAAAAATTTGTGCTAAGCTTGTGTGTTTTGTGTGATCAGGCTAGCACCATTCACTTAATCTGTTGTCTGCTTTCTGCTGTTCATTATTGTCCAGCTGCTCAGTGCTTACTTTAGTCCAAGGCTCAGAAAATACAGTGCTAGTTTTACCTATCTCAGTTGGGCTATAGGCTTCAGTAGCACTAATTGGTTGTTTAGTAATCTCTCCTTCTCCTAATGGTTGGTGAAAGTGGTGGCAGTTTTATCAGTGTTCATTTGCAGTAGCTACTTAGAGATTGTTTTTTCTTGCACAGACACCAGAGTTGTTGCCATAGGACCATTTGCTGCCTTTTCCTGCCTTTCGTGACCATTTGTTCAGCCCATATCCAGAGACATGCAGTGATCTGAATTCATTTTCACTTATAAAAGTGGCTCATTCTAATACAGATTTAGACTACGGAGCACAAGTATTTGTATCACAGAGGAATAGGGTGTCATTTGTCCTTTCCGCAGCAGAGGGTGGTTAATGATTGCTTCAAGTAAATGTGAAAGTATTCTCCTGCTTGCTGCAGAAGTGTGAATACAGCAATAATAGGTATAGAGATACAATTTAATTCTGAAGGTATTTGGCTATTTAAGTTAGAGTTTAACATTCCAAACTAAGCATGTCTAGCTAGTTGCTGTAGTCACCCTGTAGTTTTGGGGGTCTTTAGGGATTTACAGTATTCTCCTTTCCAAGCATAATGTGTTTTGAGAATGTCTGGTTTTGTTTATGATACTGGTAGGGCAATTCGTATCTCTTATGATCAAAGTCAAACAAATTATGTCTTACAGGGACAAGTAGATGTCTTATATAGGTGTATCTGTAGAGGATACACTCCTGAAAAGCACAGCAGAGAGGACTGTGATGGGCAGAAAAGCTGGTGGTGTGTTGTGTGTTGTTTTTTTTTTTTTTTTTTTTTTTTTTTTTTAATTGGAGGAAAAAAAAGGGGGAGATGTGGACAGGATCTTAATAAGGACACATAAGTACACTCAGGGACAGCATGGTGTTTATATGGTGTAGAGAATGGAGGGTGCAGGATTGGTATTAGCCAGCATGTGTTGGCTTTTGAAGAGGAATACTGTGACAACATCTCAGCTGCTTCCTCTGAGGCTGTATGCCTGATATTGAAAGATTAAGGCTGGTTGTGTAGTTAGGTTTTAAAAAAATGTGCATCTCAAAATTAACTTTTAAATTCACAGTTGCTGCATGTATTATCTGTATATTAATTTTGTGTACTTGCATTTTTAAATTTAATGTGACAGTAATATTTTTCTTAAATATGGAAGCTAAATTTTGTAATAATATTGTAATTTTATTATAATGGGAAGGGTGTGGAAAATGTGTTTTGAGGTGGCAGAATAAATGAGTCATTTCGAATGAAGTGTCATTATTTATACTTGACTTCTAGCCTTTGACTTCTTAATATTTAATTTGCAACAAAATGTGTAAATTTTATTCCTTCTGCTTTAGAAGGATTAACAAAAAATAAAGTTCTTAATTCAGTAATAATATTTTCTGTTTAGTATTTGTGATAATCTACGTGAATTTTCCTTACAGGTTATTGCAACAATGGAACAACTAGAGAAAGTCAGTACTTTCCAGGAGTTTGTGCAAATATTCAGCCAGTTTGGAAATGAAATGGTGGAGTTTGCACATTTAACTGGGGATCGACAAAATGTAAGTATTAAAAAAAAATATATATATAGATGAGAAACATTGTAAGTATTGCTTTTCATCTGATTCAGTAGAAGACTGGGATTCTTCTGGGATGACTGTTACAGACCAAAACCCCAGGGTCCAGTCTCTGAAACCTGAATTTCTCTCCTTGCTCCATCCAGACAGCATCTTTTGATGTTCATGCTCACACTAAGGGACATTGCTGGGTTATTTGCTCAGGGTTTCTTCCAATAGCCTGGATGGATATTATTTGAGCTTCTCCAGATATCCTTAGTCTTCTTTCTTATATCTTCTGCTCTAGTTTGCCTGGTTTATTACTCTGATAGAAAATTTGTCTGTTATTTGTCTGCTAAATATCTCTTCATATTCATAAACATTTTCATAAATGTTTACATGTAAGGAAAGACTTTAGAAGCAGCAGTTCTTCTAGAAACCTCAAAAGAAGATGGCTTTAGATTCTAATAAAGTGTACCTATGTTTTGTGGGTTTTTTTTTTTTTTTTTTATTATGGAGCATTTTTCTAGGTTAAAGTCAAAATGTATATATGTCAATGTGATGCTTTTTCCTTCTTGCATCCAGTTCCTGTTTCCAAAGTTTCTTTCATTCACAGAGCAAACTTGTGGCTTCTGTTGTACAATATTATTTGGAAATTCATTTGTTTTCTAAAACAGCTGTTAGAAATTTGCTTTTATATCCTTCTGTTGCTCTGAGTAACCTACCTCTTTAGCTCATTTACAAAGGTACTGTGCTCATCTTTATTGTTTAGGCATCAGTTCGTCATGGAAGTGGGCCTCTGTAGACAGTTCCATGCAAATAAGAGGTTTCATGAGGCTTGAGAGGCTGCTATGAGCGATGTTTGTTTCCCCTTGATAATCAAATTTCCATTGATTTCTCCATTCATAATTGAACTAGAGATATATATTTACAGAGCTCCTAATATCAAAGAGAACTTGGAAGCTATGCATACATGAATTGCTCAGACTGGTGCTTATAAAAATAGGCATTTCTGTCACGATGCAATAATCTTCAGAAAAATTATTAGAGGATATTTATGAAAACACATACCTTCCTTTCTGTTGATGGGTTGTGAGATGCCTAAGAATATTCTTGAAGAACCAGATCTGGAAAAGCTACGTGTAAATAAAGGAAATCCCTCTGGAGACAGACTCTCTTTTTTTTTCCTGAAATGTTTGTAACCGCTATTCCTTGGAAAGAGAAAAAGGCATTTCTGTTAAGTGATACTCTATTAAGGGGTGCTTGTCCCATCTATTTTTGATTTTCAAAGTTAATTGAAGGTTTGACTCTCCCCTCCTTGCTCACTTGAGTCTTTTGGAAAGAACGTTTCGTTAATACGTTTTAAATTCTGTCAGGACTTGATGCGCTTACTTTAATCGTACTAAGGGTGCTGTGTGGAGGTGTTAGCTTTGGGAGTTTATCTCCCAAAGTATTTTTTGTTTTTATAGTTATATGTGTGCCAGAAACTCTTGAATATGGTCAGATTTCTGAGAATATAATGTAAGAATCGGAGAAACAAGCAGTTTTTTTTAAAGAAATGTAATGACCTCAAAATTTTGAAGGTTATGCTGAATTTATTAAAGAAGTGATTTTCTTTATTTTTAATGGCAAAATGGAATGCTGTCATGATCTATCTGTGTTTTTAGGTTTTTTTCCTCTTCCTTCTAAATCAGATTGTTTAATTCCATCCTGTAGTAGTTCTTAATCAAACACAAACTTGGTTTGAAATGCAGTGTTGTAAATCCGTTCTTTCCCACCCTCTTCACTGTCACTTGCTTAATTTTTCAGGGCCTAGCCAGCCTGGGAATATTGTTGATTTCAATCTGTTGTGACATACCTCTGTAAGTCCAAGTTGTTTCTTGTGTTCACACAGAGTCTGTGTGAACCTGCCCTTCCAAGGATGGGGCCGTGATGTGTCCTGGGTTACTCTGCAGGGAGGACAGTGACTTTGGGAGGCAATTGTGGAGCTCTTCTTGTCATCTCCTGAGTGGCTTTTAAGCTCTTTTTGGGCGATAACCCCTTTGCCCATTCTATATTACCTATTTCAAGATGAGTGACAGATTCGTGATGAAAAGTGCATCTTGTTATTTTTGTAAAAATGATCATAAGCTGCAGGTGGATGCTCTCAGGCTGGAATTAAGCTTTCTAATCCATTGCATGGTGAATGGCTTGGACTTTTGAGTACCCAAAGGAAGGAAACGCTGTTGCTTTTAAGAGAGGGCTTGAGCAGTTTATAGCAAGTGTTATATGACTCGCATAAATGCTGTGGCAGAGAATTTGGCTTTATTTCACTGCAAGTCCCACGCAATTGTGCACTCTCTAATGCCTAAAAAGCATTCAGCTAATTTTTCTAGCAAAAAAACTCTTTCCCTTTGTTAGAGTCCCTGTCTGTTGAGGCATTTCCTTCTCCATCCCAATTTAGACTCTTTTTTTTTCTTTTCCTATGTGAAGAAACTTTATTGGATTCCCTTCATTACAGTTCAATGAAAAGCTGGTTCTCTCTTTTTCTGCCTACTCCACCATCTCTTTCAATTTTTTTTTTCAGTTGTATTTGTTTTTGCTTACTTTCCTATTTTATTGATAATACTATATGGTAAAGATAGTGAAATTAATGGCAGTTTACAAAGCATAATCTGTATGTCTGAGATCTTATCCTTTCAAAATCTCAATTGAATAAAGCCAAGAATACCTGCATAAATTCGAATCTCTCAAAAAATAAAGCTCTAGATCATGAGTTGAACTGAAAGTAACATTTGTCAAATGTGGTAAAGAAGTTTTCTTTGCAATCTGTTGATCTGCAAGAGAGTTTCCATTTTACTGTCTGTGGAGCAAATAACATTTGGAGCAGTTAACAGTTTAGATGTTTAGATGTTAGACGCAATATTCAAATCATTTTCTTGGTGTTTAGGATTTGAAGGATGAGAAGAAAAAGGCTAGAATGGCAGCATCCAGGGCTGTCCTTGAGAAATGCACCATGATGCTCCTGACTGCTTCAAAGGTGAGTGGTCTTGTGCAAGAGGATTACAGAAGAGTGAACTTGGATACATCACAGGACGTGGCATCTGGTAGGATAGCTGTCTGCTTTTTTTCAGCACTGCTTTAATCTTCATAACAAAAAGAAAATGGACAGAAGAAAATCTTTTTATTCTGAATAATTCTAGGAGTGCTACTTAATATCATAGTGGTTTCACAGAAAATATTTATAATTTTCCATACATGTACTTTAGCCTTGCTTTAGCAAAAAGTATTTATTTCATTATATTGTGTATGGTATCTGGTAATGTTTCCTTCTTTTTAAGACTTGTCTGAGGCATCCGGACTGTGAATCCGCTCGTATAAACAAGGACGGGGTATTTCACCAGATGAGACTAGCTTTGGAGCAGGTAATAGAAATTGTAACTGACTCTAGAGCGAATGGAGAAACTGAATTAGCTTCCATCAGTATATATTCTGGCATCAAAGTATTCAAGGTAAGAATAGAAGTTGGGCTGTTTTCTGTAATTTAAGGAATTACACTAAAGCTAGAATTAAATCTTTTTGGAACTCCAGATGGTGGGTAGTGTTACAACTCCTCAGCAGAGCAACTTACATAACTCTTCTAAGTATAAAATAATCTAACAAAAGGTTCGTATAATTTCTTTGCTGTTGCCAAAGTCAACTTGCTGACGCTTGCTGTCTACTCCCGGATCATGGAACAGAGTATATTCAGAACTACAGTGCTTTGTTGAGTTGATGCCTTTAATGTTGGATGAACTAATAGATTGTTATACTGACCAGAACTTCACTAAAATAGCTGCTGTTGAAGAATTCTTGGTTCTTAACTGATAGTATTTTTAAGATCTCACATACAAATATTTATCATTTGAAAATAATTTGGAAACTCAAACTTGAATATTTCAGAAAACTTTGAAGGAATTATTCTAAACTGAAATTGTGTCCTGGCTTACTTTATTTTTCATGAAAAACTCACTTCTAAATTTCATATTCAATTAAGAACAGTCAAATAACAAATATACTTTCTCTGGAGTCTGTAGTGCATTTTGAGTCTCATGCCCTTTCCAACCAAATATTTAGAAACCATACACCAAAAAGATTATATGGATGTGGTTTGTAGAGACCAAAGAGAACCTGAATACACAGTTGATTTCTGAAATTGTTACTGAACTGAGAATTTTTTTATTGACAGCAGATAAGCAGGAACGTATTTACTGTTTGTTCTGTCCAGTAATTTGCTGCTGATATTATTAGACTAAAAAACCCTAAACCTAAACTGGAAACTTTTCCTAAACTGGAAGTCTGGATACCAGCAAGTGTTTTTTTGTTACTTTGAAATTCAATGATTAAAAAAATCACTGAGGAGAAAAATAACATGTAATAGGATGCATCAGCTTTCTGCATTTGTACCACAACAACATAACCATGTAAAAGCACAAGGAATTGAAATGCTTCTTTTTCAGAATAAAGTGGAGGGTCTTCGTGAGAATCTTTATTTTATGTCAAAAGAAAACCTTTCAACAATGCTGGAAGTTATCCTGGAACACACAGAAGACTTTACAGATTCTGCCTACACCAGTCATGAGCACAGAGAACACATTTTGGAGCTCTCTAAACAGGCTAAAATGGAACTAGAGCAGCTGCTTTCCGTGTGGATGCAAGCTGTAAGAGCTTTTTCGCAAAGTAAATCTTTTCACCTCTACTTTGAAAAGAAACATTTAATGCAATGTTTCTTTTGATCTAGGAAGAGAGAATTGTGTATCTGTGTTGAAGGAAGCTTGAGATTTGTCTCTGCTTTTTCAGTTTCAGTACATTCTGTCCTTTCAGTACATTCTGTCTTCCTCTTGCGGTGGTTTTGCTTTAGGCATAGACTTCTAAATTTTAGGCACAAGGTGGTAGGCTAATTTTCATGCTGTTATTAGAAAGGAAAAGGCTAACAGAAGTGTGGTGCAGTCCTAAGCAGTTAAGACTTTTGGATGAGTATTTCAGAGACTTAAATTGCCTTGATTCAATGGTATAGCAACCACAGTTCTCAATTAAAGGAAGTTGGCCTATTGAAATGTAAAATATTCTAAAAATCAAACTTTTCTTAGAATTTTCTCATATTTGTTCGGTAGTTCTCCGAGAAATACATTTAGCCTATACCTGTCATTTGTCTTAATTTGTTCTGGGAAGACGATAGAATATACATGCACACAGATGAGGAAAAGATGGAAAACCATCAGAGAGATGTAAAGCTCTTAAGAGAGCCCAGATGTTGCCATTTCCGCTCACCATACTAGGAGTATATTTCCTATTAATAAGCAGAGTAACTGTGTGCTCAATGAAGAGTATTGCATAGTGTAGTTTAAAATTGAAGTGCTTTTAGCTTAGGTCAGTTGTGAGTTATAGACTGACATCATCTGTCTTGTCTTGGATTTTTGTTTTGTTCTGTTGTTAATGTGTACCAGTGCAAACCAGCTGGAGCTTACCAGAGAAGCTAGGGCTGTGGTGGAATTTTAAGTGGTTCTCAAATTCTTCTTCTGCCGGGTGTATCTAGCCTTGGCAAGTAATGATATATATTGTATTGGTTTGAGTGGGTGAATTTGTGTGGGGGTATTTATATACATATTAATCTGTGAAGAGGTAATGTCATTGCAACTATGGCCATATTAGTAATCCCTCCTAGGGGGATATTTTGGAGAAGGGTGCAAAATCCCTGCTTCATAACTCTTTTCCCAACACTTCTTGTTACTTTTCTCTTAGTTTCATAGCTGGTGTTTACAGAAGTTGAAGCTCAGTCTTGAAGTTGGCTAAACAAGATGTTGCTAGCTACAGTATTTGTTTAAATTAGACAATAATCTGAATTTTTAAAAGAATTATGAAGAAAATGCTTTTTTTGTAGCTCAGTGTAAACATTTGGGATAATGCTTTAAATATAACTTTATTTTAGAGTAGTGTTCCTTTATATTTTTTAAAAATGGCTAAAACTGATACTCTATTTTAGGACATTTAGATAGGTAAAGACTTTAGGAAGCTGCAGCTATAAAACTTAAGAAAGCCATTTTCCCAAATATTGCTTAGTGAGTTCAGAAATAAATTTCTATTGAACAGAAATAGTCAGTATTCTGACTTCACTATTATTCTTAAATTTTTGGTTTTTTTTAGCGATAGATGTCTCTATAAAATAATTCTTGAAATAAATTATATGCAGGATGGGCAACTGAAACCATTACACTTTTACATCTATAAATGCCATCTTTTAAAACAATTTGACACATGATGTGAACCTTGGGTTTCTTGAGTCTTGCCTAATGTTTCCTTGGTCTTTCTGTTAACAGCAAAACCAAAAGACAAAGGATCTCATGGAAGACTTGGAATTAGCCATTTTAAAAATGTGCCAGTGCATGAATGAACTTAAAAGAGAGGTAAGTGTAGCTTAAAAGAAACACAAAGTGAAGAAAACCTTGCATTTCTTGCTTTTCATGCATAAACTTGTAAAATAGGATCCTGTACCGCCAAAACTGTCTTTTATAGAAAAGAGTGGCTAATCAGAATTATATTAGGGAGGTCATATGCAAACCTTCTCTGTGTCCTTTCATACAGCTCATCAGAAATGCTAGACACACAGGCCCTTTGCTAACTAAAACAACTATCAAATAAATTGGAAGTGACTACCATGTATATAATCACAACTTTAAGTGTAATGACTAAATTTTGCTTGTGGATACATATAATTCCTTATTGAATCTTTTTCTTCTAGTGTGTACTTGAATTAATAAATTACATGTGATATATTTTTACATTTAACCTATTTTTAATTTTTTTTTTTTGCAGAAAACATCTTATTTTGGTTCTATTTTATATTTATTTATTTCCCTAGACTATTTACTTATTTTGGTGTGATAACTGTAATATTTAACGTCATGTATATTTTTCTTAGATAATTAAAACACGTCATATTTAGGTTGCAAAATATGCTAAAAGAAGAAATATACAAGAACTCTTACCATGGCAGTTGTGTTATATATTTATTATAAATCACTCTTTCCAAGCGTAAGCCACCAATCCCCACACAAAAGTAAGAGCTGCTTCTTTTGATGTGTGGAAGGGACTGTGCTTGCTGAGCAAGGTCTTTTTTTCCTCTTTATTTGGTGAATTGCTTTTGGGTCTTATTAGCTTCTCAAATTCAATCCAAATACAGAATCGCTGATCTCTGGTAGCTTCCTAAGTATTTGTAAAGCGTACAGATGTCTTTTCAACACCTTCCTATTACTGATCCTTTAAACAGATGGAGAAATCAAGAAAACAATGATGTACTTATCCTAGGCTACAGAACAAAGCAAAAATGTTAGAAAAGTATGGGAAATTTGCTCAGATTGAGCTCTCAACAGTTGTAGCTGGAAACACTTGACTAACAACAGCCTTTTTCCAATTAGAGCCCTGGCACAGGCTGCCCAGGGAAGTTGTGGAGTCTCCTTCTCTGGAGGTCTTCCAAACCCGCTTGGATGCCGCCCTGTGCCCTGTGCTCTAAGTGTGCCTGCTTGAGCGGGAAGTTTGGACTAGATGATCTCTAGAGGTCCCTCCAACCTCAGCCATTCTGGGATTCTGTGACTGGCGCCTGTTAGCTTTGTGTCCTATAAAATAATCATGCATCACCTTTTATTTAATGGGGGAAAAAATAAGAGCTTATCAAATCTGCAGTTGTCCTGAAGATCTGGAGAGTGCTTCAGACCTGTTTCAGTCTGCACTTTGTGGGAGCCTGCGTGCTAGGCCCTCAGAAAACAGAGACTGCGTAATTTTTTAGGCTTGACTAATAATTTTTACTGTGGCCTTCTATGTGCAGCAAGTCAATAGCAAAGCTTCTTTTCCAGGGTGACATTCACTTACTCTATCTGTAAGAGCAATCTCTTTCTGCAGTTCGTGCATCTGTTCAATTTTATTCTGTCTACCCCTTTGATGTAGCAGTTCCGCAGACAAAATCATGCTGTTCTCATAATGCTCTGAGTAACATCATTCCTGTGCTCCGAAGGAAGAGAAATAATTCCCTGTCAAAATAGTGTGCAGCTGTGAAATTAAAGGAGATCGTCAAGCCGGAGTGGCTGGAATATGATGTGCAAAAGAAATAGTTAATATCTTGTATTTTTCTTTTACCTCTGCAAATGTAAATCTTGCCAAACAGTCTTGCCCCCAGCTTTCTGTTTATAGAAACATCAATCAAAATGCAACAGAAACAACACATAATGCTTAAGCTAAAGTACTATGTAGGGGAGAGTCATAGAGAATTGTTTTCTGTAAATTTGCACACAAAGATGGCATATAAAAATGGTAGAATAGTGGGTTATTTATGCCCTTTGATGAGCCCCATATTAAATGTCATATTGCTAAAAACAAAACAAACTGTTTTCAAAATAGCAGAGGAAACTGAGGGAGTTTGGGTTTGTAAATCAGCAGATCCTATCTTCAGTATGCCTTGCTTTTGCGACCTGTAGAGTATGAAAGCTTGCTTAGTAAGAGTTTGTAAAATGCATGATCTTAATGCTAATCAGGAAGCAAATTTAGAGTAGTATGTCCTTCATTGTTTCTTGTATAGCGGTTAGATTTGTCTTTCATGCTAGATTAGCAGCAAGGTTTTGTGTATGCTCAAAGAAGACTGCCCTGTTGCTCCATCTCTGACTTCTAGTGTTGCAGTGAATCAATCCACAATTAGTTTCTGTGGTGATAAATTTTAAGTACTGTGGCACTAATTGAAATGTTTTTCAGATCCTAGGTGGATGATAACACAAGACAGGCTATTAAAAGTAGTTATTTCTGTTTTATGGAAAAAAATAGTTAATTTTTCTGCTAACACTTCAGTCTTAAGTGCAGTGTTCAAGTGCAGGCCAATTACTATTTTATATCAAGATGATACGTAGTCTGTGTGTAAATGGGAATTGCCAGTTCACATTCTAGCACAGCAAGTCTTGCAGATTAAATTTAGAGTTGACTGCATTTCTGAGATGAGTGGTGTGGCAGTTTTTATTTACATTCATTTAATGCGTTTAATTGCATTCATAAGAACTTAAAAATATTTTATCAAAAGTTTGTTGTATATATTCAGTGCCACCCAGGAAAAAAGATGAGTGTGATAATGCAAGACTTGTAACAGTCGTGACAGTGTTTTGCCATGTCTAAACCAGCTTTCTGTATCTTTGTTTTTGCCAACATTGCTTTTAAAATGAGGCTAATTACCGGATCACGTGGACCTGGGGAAAAGCAGCAGCTCTTACCTGTTGCAGTTGTGAAGCAGAGCCCTTCCTTCACACCATAGTTTCCATGGCTAATAACATGTGCCTGGATTTAGGAATGTATTTCAAGGGGGAGCTTCTCCTGTTGAGAGTGTAGGTTTTGAAACTTTTCTCAGATGCTGCTTGCTTGCAGTCAGGGTGCTTTCTACTTGTCTAAAACACTGTCTGATTGTATTCAAGATTTTCGTTTGCACTACTCAAATTAAGTTAATTAATGGAAACTTGATACCTAATGCACTGTAAACTCAGATGTTACGTAGCCCTGATTTGGTTCGGTTGGGCTGTGCTCTCCATGAGAAATGGAGTGGTGATCATATCATGCTCCTGCTAAGCTTAGTGCCCCACAAATTTGTACATCTGGTTGTTCCACCTATAGGATCATCAGAAGGCAGCACGATAGCTTCGTACTCTGATTCTACCCAGTTGCTTTTTTGTTTCTCTCTGTTTTTTTTTTTTTTTTTTTTTTTTTTTTTTTTTTTTTTTTTTTTTTTTTTTTTTTTTATCTTTGTACTTGGAGAATAATTGAAGAATTAAAGTCCCAGCTAATCTGTAGTCTACATATATATATATATATGAACTTTTATGACAGTACATTTTCTGCTTCTTGGAAAATTGATTGGTCATTAAGGTGATTCATTTCATAATGGATGCATTCGTTTTTCTTCTAAGGTTTCTCTCTAGTGTTTTTCTTTTCTTTTTTAATGCTACTCAAGCTTCACAGTGCAGCGACATCCTTGGCAGCAGATCTCCTAAAATACCATACAGATCATATGGTTCTGAAAGCCTTAAAAATAACGGGAGTAGAGGGAAATCTGGAAGCTATAGCGGAATATACTTGTAAGCTGGCCGAGCAGAAAGAACAACTTGTTGAGGTGAGTACACAGCTACCTTCATTTTCTCAGACACTTGGAAAATAGCTGCCTGGACCTCCTTAGGAAGGTCTTGGTCTGGTGGCTTTTTTTAAGGATTTTCATAATATACTACTGAATTCCTTCCTTTCTTTATTTTATTTTTTTCGAAACTCTGCTAGGATCTGAGCTGGATATATCCAACGAGGTGCACTATTGTTGTAGAAGCCATTCTGCTTGTGTATCTAGATTAGCTATAGGCTCAAATTCATTGTTTGGTTCAAGGTATTGTTAGTACATATGTTTTGGGTACAGATTATTCGTTAAAAACTAGGTTTCTAAATCTAAGTGAGATCATAGCCTAATATCTTCTCCATCAAGCAGCAGGCAACTGGCAACAGCTAAATGCAAAGACAAGTTTTAAGAATGATGAGAAATTAATGAATCCAATGAACTTGACCATTTTGAAGATTTTATTTCTAAATATTCTACATTTTGTAGCTTCTGCAATCTTCTACATGAAGATTTATTTCTGTATTGGGTAGAGGCTCCAGATATGGAAGTCTCTACTCAAACAGAACCTCCACATACCGATCTTGTGGCTTGTTTGCTTCTCTTTTATATACTATGGAGGCAGATATTTTTATTTTTATTTTTATTTTTATTTTTATTTTTATTTTTATTTTTATTTTTATTTTTATTTTTATTTTTATTTTTATTTTTATTTTTATTTTTNTTTTTATTTTTATTTTTATTTTTATTTTTATTTTTATTTTTATTTTTATTTTTATTTTTATTTTTATTTTTATTTTTATTTTTATTTTTATTTTTTAATGGAATATTCAAGAGTGCGTGCTTACATGTCTACTTCATTTCCACAAATTCTGTCATAGACTTAAGATGGAGCAGAAGTAATTGCACTAGTAGGAGACACACAAAGACAGGTGATACTGATGTGGATGATACTGGAAGTTATGACTGAAAGCGTTTAGTATTCATTAGTTTCTAAAAGTTACCTATCCTGCATGGAGCTTGAGTTTTTGTCCCAAAAGCATGGCTATGTAGAAACAGTGTTCTCAACTTCAGGGATTGACAAATAACTCTTATTTTTATTTCAGCTTTAATACTCCCTTTTCCTGTGACTAATCAATGCTTCTCTTTTAGTAAGAAATGGTGATTTTTTTTTTTTTCAGGCATAACTCTGGGGTAAAATGATTTTAGCTGAGACCCTACAATATCTTTTTATGATGAACGATATGACGAGTTTCGTATCTGCTTGGTCTGTTAATTCTCTTTGTGACCTGAAAACTCCTGTGTTTATTCCCAGGCTAATGCTGCTGCTACCACAAAGAGAGGGGGCTTGTATTTTGATTACTGTGAAAGGAAATAGTAATTCTTCCCTAGATTAATTTGATGCTGTTTTTCTCAAAGAAAATTCAGTACCCTGGATGGTGAAGACCTAAGTTTTACACATGTTAGATAATGGCTGAGTCATCCTCTCTTAGTGAAATCATCTATGTTACAATTTTTAAGTTCATTATATGTCTGATTATTTTCAGACTTATTCAGTAATAAGTATTGTTGAATTGTTTGTGTTTTTTTTTTCCTTTCCCTCGGTGATCTTTAAAAAAAAAAAAAAAAGATAAAAAAAAAAAAAAAAAAAAAAAAAAAAAAAGAGAGAGAGAGCTAAATCCTGGTTTGGAATGTATGTTGTAAACCCTTACTGAGAGAAACACATGGCTGTCATCCCAAATTAGTTTCTAAAAGGAAGTTATTATTTTTATTTTTTTAATTAGTAATGAAAGCATATTTTTACCATTCTTTTCTCTTTATTTTTAAAAAAATCTTTAGATGTGTCGTTTGTTGAGGCATGTTTCTGGAACAGAGCCCCTTGAGATTACTTGCATACATGCAGAAGATACCTTTCAGGTCACTGGCCCACAGGTATGCTTAGCCTTTCTTTTTTTTTCTTTTTTTTTTCTTCCCCCCTCACTGAAATAAAAGTTTTGGGTTCCTGATGCTGAAATTTATAAAGCAGTTTCTAAAAAGAATTGTATTTTACTCCTGGGCTTTATCATATTATTGTAGAAAGAACACACAAGCAGATCATCAAGCCTTCAAATGTCCTGCAAATACATTGCTCAGGCATCATGGCAATGGCTCAGGCAACCTTAATCGCCCATTTTGCTTGTGAGGGCCTTGTGCATTCATGTGCCACACTATTTACCGGGATTTCTTAGGATAGCATGTATTTTGCTCTCTCTGCAGATAATTTCTGCTGCAGAAACATTGGCATTGCATCCCTCCAGCAAGATTGCAAAAGAAAATCTTGAGGTGTTTTGTGAGGCTTGGGAGTCTCAACTGAGTGACATGTCCACATTGTTAAGAGAAATCAATGATGTGTTTGAAGGAAGAAGAGGTAAGAATGCCATGTACATATAGAAAAACGTGCTCCCAAAACAAAATGTCATCTAAACATTTTGACTGTGATTTGGGAATTAATGTTTTCTTTGAATACTAAGTAAACCAGAAACATATGGCAATATAGAATCTAGGTGGTCCTACGTAAATGTATTGGTAGTGAAGGTAGTGAATCAAGATGTAAATTAAATTTTGTCATGTTTAGTTTGTACCCAGTATTTCTGGAAAGTATATGTTCATGAATTCTATGCTATCGGCTTGCATTGTAATCATTTTCATAATGTAGTGAATGTAGTTATTTGATTTTTGAACTGCTGTCCTTTCCCCTGGATGGAATATCTGATGACTCTGCACAATCTTGGGATATTGCCTCTGGTTGGTAAGTTTATTGGTATTTGTACAACATGTAGAAGAGATTCTTGAAATCTTTAAGAAATAAATCTGTGTTTACTCTGCTTTTAGTATCTTCAGAGTAGGCTAATTTATCTTTAAGAATGGAAGCTACTCTCTATTTTGATGTAACTTTGCTGTTTTTTTTTTTCCAAACGATTACTTCAGTGTAGCCTAGTGTTATACTTCTGGTGGCTGTGTGTTTGTTTCAGGCTTTCAATTGAAATTGCATACAGATAGAATGTCATATACTGAATGTTTGTATTTTTAAGAAAAATCACTCAGGTTAAAAAAGGTAATAATTAAATATAGAGAATATAAATATAGAGATACAGAATATGCAGTATTCTGTATCTCAGATACAGAACAAGTACATCTGTATCCAGGTTAGATGGGAATTATATAATTCTTCATCCTGTCCTTGACACGAGACTGATGAGTAGAATTTATTTTGGCCGTTGAACTTTCCCTACTGGTTCAGGTTTTTGTGCAAGCAGTTATGAGAATTCATGTTCCATGTGGAGAGTCAAGTGACTTTCTTGGAAGGTTAAGGGCTTAGATAAACCTTCACCTAGTAAACGTCATTGGTAGCTCACGGTTTGGCCGCTGCTCAGCTAGTTGGTGTTACTCCTTCACTCCAGGCTACTTTCCCACAGTAGCAGGACAGGGGAAGAATGTGGGAATGTACTCAGTTTAGCTTAAGCTGCTGTGGAAAGTCGTCCGAGCTGAAGTGGTGGGTGCTTATTTGCTCTTTTCTGCCAACATCATTGCAAGGACAATAAACAAAGCGGGCAGCCACAGCAAAGCACGTCCTTGGCGCTAAAAATCAGTAGTTTTTAAAGTGCTATGGCACATTTCCAGCATATCCTGTAGTTAGTACCTTTTTGTTCTCGTATGGATATCAATAGCAGATCAGAAACGTTTTCTGCAAATCCTGTTTCCCAGTTTCTCCAGAGAAGCTCTGTGCTGGGCATGTGTGATGGTGCTGCTTGAAGCAGAGGGAAGAGCATGGGCAGGAGCTGCCAAACGTGTTCGAGTCTGCCTTGAGTGAGCCAGGGTGTAAGGAAGGACCAGCTTTACCTGTCGGACATAAACAGATTAGTCCGTTTTTATTAGGATGGCTCTTGTTCACCCTTTTCTTCACCATAAAATATTTTAATACTTTGTAGCCTTCATTCTTCACGTTGCCTTCGGTGCATTAAGTCTTGTGCGGCCAAAAAGATGCTTAAGGAATCTTGTCTCTCAGGCCCAGCCTAGTAAAGGGCTTCACTCAATTAATATCAATCTCATCATTTGATATTAGTTATCAGTATCTCCTCAAAAATAATTGAGTCATCTGTACTGTACTGTTTTCTAATTTTTTTTTTCCTGTGTTGTTGTCTACCAGTCCTTTTGTTTGCGGGCTTTCCTTTGTTAGACATCAGATTGACTAAAAAAGATGCAAACCAACAACAGCGAAAAAACCTTTTTGCTTTCAGAAAATACCTTAAATGCCACTTTACCAGTTCAAATATTTTACTCCCTTAGAAAAGTACCTTAGATGATCCAAGTGAAAAATTGTTTGAGACTGCAAAAGTTTTACAAATGCCACTTTTCCTCCAAAAATGATGTAGTTTCATGATATTGTATAAAAATCTTATTTCTTCTTGTCTTAATGCTGAGGTTGGTAGAAGTTTATTTTACAGTGTGAATGTAACAAGTGCTTTATTCCTAGTAAATGGTGATTGTATGCAATAGAAGATATAGCTATATTGGGATGTTATATATATTTTTCTCCCTGTTTTAAAAGCATATTTTTTTACTAATGTTCTAATGGTTGGCTTTGGTTAGAGAGTTCAGAGGCAAAAACTGAACGGTGACTAAAATGTGCTGGACACATCTAATAAAATAAGCATTTTTTTTCTGATTGTAGTAGATTCATGTTGTTTAAACTTGTAAATCTGCTGATTTTACAAATTGCGTAATTCTTTATCGAATGCTTTTTATCCTATCAGCAAGTCAGGCAGCTTGCTTACTGAGGTTCAAAACTCATATGGATAGAGAGTCAAATTTAGTTGTGAAATGAGTATTTCATCCAGCTTTAATGGGATGATACCACGGATTGCCTAGACTGAGCTGGGCTCCTCTTTGGCCCCGCGTGTGTGCGCCCACGGGGGTCCCTCTGCACGCGCGGGTATGTGCACCGTGCGGGAAGGGTGACCTTCGTTCACATTCCGAAATCCTCTTTGTGCTTGCAGACCTGTTGAGTGTAGCAGAGTTGTTTCTCTTAATCCTAAAACACCGTTAACACTTTTCTGCATCGTATTTTGCCTTTGAGAAGTGTCTTGTTTGAACTTCCTTGCTTGTGAAGTCTTAGGGAGAGAGACTGGCACCTCCAGAGCTTAGTTTCGTAAATCTAGTGATTTGGTTTATGTGGATCTAGTGATTTGGTTCAGCTAGCGGAGGTGCCTGTGTGCTCTGCACTCACCTGACCATGCTCAGCTTAAAAAACACTATTTTAAGTCTGTTAGTTACTTAACTTTGAGGCTCTTGCATTTTGAAATGAATCACCTAATGTAAGTATCTTTCATTGAGGACCATATTCAGTCATTTAGGTGCCACATAGTCGTATTTTTTTCTTCTGTCCTTTCGGTTTCAGCCTGTTGGAGAAGAATGTGAATAATCCCCTTGATGGCTCCCCTGTTTTTTGGTGTTAAAATGGCTTGTAATGATAACTTAATTTTCTGTGCTTCTCTGTTTTGCACACTTGGTTTGAGAGAACTTAGTTTGGATGGATAGGGGATACAGGTAACAATTTTAGAATTAGGAAAGTAGAAATCTAGAAAGAACAGCGAAGCAAAGGTGAAGGAATCCTCTTGCGAGGTAAGAAATTAGGTCAAGAGCAGGATTTAAAGAAGTTAGGTAAGAAATTAGGTCAAGAGCAGGATTTAAAGAAGTTAAAATAGAGAACTGGGGGTGTGGGAAAGACATGTCTAGAACTGCTAGAAAGCAGAGGTGTGCAAAATAAGATTGGGAGATAAAAAATGAAATAATAACAAAAAGGCAAACTGGAAGAAATAAAAGGAATGTTATAATACAGTGGAAAAAAAAGTATTTGTATTTCAAAAATTTTCTCTGCTATTTTAGCCAAAATCGACTTTCAAAATATTACAGTTACTTTTAAAATATGACAGTTAAGTAGGTGAAAAGATATATATGTGTATTCCATCAGTGGAATAAAATATAAATTATGTAATTATACTGATGTCTAACTGCATCCTGAAAAAGAAAATGGCTTGATAGTTCACTCCCCACCTTGTGAAACTTCTAAGACCTCTAACCTGGGAAGGGGAAAGAAGAGGTGAACTTGGGAGCATGGAATTCAAACTGCCAACTTCTCAGGATTGAGAGACACTTGCCAGTTTGCTGAAAGGTCAAAAAAATAAAAGAAATCAAACCCAGCACATGTAGCATGGATCTGTCCCTGATGGGAAACAACAAACTTCCAAAAAAAATTTTTTTTTTTTTTTTTTTTTTTTTTTTTGGCACACAACAGAACTGTCTTCTGAGAATTCAGAATGGGAATTTGTTAGATACTGATAGAGGAGGAGGAAACATCAATCTCTGTCTCTCTTGGGGGTTTTGCTGCTCGTCTTCTGTTCATCTGGGTGCATGGGCTCTGTGCAAGCCCAGTACTAGCTCAGACAGACTTTCCTCTCCTGTTGTAATAAAAATAGATGTTTAAAGTCTTATGGTGGCTAGAGGCTCCTAGTCTTGGCTGCTAGTTTCTCTTCTATTAGTAATCTTTTTTTATTCACTTCTGGAAAATACCTAGATCTTTTTTATTCCCTATCTCTGGCTCAGATTGAAATAACTGAGGCCTCTTGGGATGCTGTACTTTGCAACAAAACGAGTACACCCAGTGATAGCTGCTTAGTCTTTGGAGAGAGAGCCTCTTTACTTAGTCGTGGGCAGAACGCAAGGTAGGAGAGGCCTAGTGGGTGAGTGAAACCCTTAAGAGGAGTCACGCTTAACTGGCAGTTACTGAGAGCTAAAATCTCAACAGCGGGGAGTTCTTGGCCTATCTCTAGAAGCCTAAGACAGAGTAGAAGACCTCTGTTAACTGTCAAAAAGGGAGGACTTGCAGGTAAGTAATTTGCTATTATAGTACCAGAACTTAAGTTCTTACCTGAGTAAAATGTGTGATCCCATTCCTTCAAAGTGCATACAAATTTGGGTATAAATATATGTGTTTTTCTTAGGAGAGAAGCGTGTCTACCTCTCCCTGCCCAGACCAGGGGTAAGTTGCTCTGGGGACTCTTGTGTTTGCATCCTGTCTGCTGCTAACTAAGCGACCTGACGAGGGCACGGCGGTGTGTGGGTGACGGGCATCTTAATGGGGTGGCTGACAGGAAAACCTTGAACTTGTTACATTTTTTAAATGAACAACAAACTCCAAAAACTAACAGGATTAACACACGTTAATCTCCTGCTTTGATTGTAGTTGAACTTTAATTCTTCTTTTATAATAGGACAAACTTTACTTCCGCACTATATAATAATAAATGCCCGTAGCAGAACAGTGTTCATTTACACGATGATAAATTAAGTCCTGGTGATACTTTTTTATTTTTTAAAAGTTGTTGTCTGAGCTGACATTCTGTATTTGTCAGTTCTCCTATCAGGCAAATAGGATGGCTGGCTGCACATAAGAATGGATAAAATGACAAGTCCAAGTCTAAAATGACAAGACAACAAATATTCTGAAGTTTCTTCAAACTTAATATTTGAATGAATAGTATTCATGCTTGGTTATTGTTCTAGAATGTTTGATTTCTTGAATTCCCTTTAGCCTAGCAGCTTGAGCTTCCACCACGATACTGTCAAACTTAAATGACATTTAGGAGCACAAGATCATAAACTTTTTGCCAAATCTTTTAAGAACTGCAATCACATTTCTAGTGCGTAGGCAAAATTAATATTGTCTGATCTGGATACACATTTTAGGATTCAATTTAAAAAAAAAATAATTAGAGGGGACACTGCCATGCAGACTAAACAGTAGGAAGTAGATTAGAGTAGGAACTTGAATAGATGTATTTTATTGTTGTCCAGATTAATTTTGCACACACAGTGAATAGTAGATTTTTACTAAAGGCTTCCTGAGTTTCACTTGCATCAATAGCAGCTCCTCATGGTTTTCAAACAAGGTTGTCAGTCCTGCACACTCATTACCCTACCTCTTCCTGTGGCTAATGCCTCTCCAAACTATGATTCCAACTTTGTACTTCCCGTTTCTCCACACTCCAGTTTTTATATGTGGACTGTAGCTGCTGGATTCATAAGTTCCTGGGTTCATTAGTTTCTGCTGTCTTTGCACAGCGACAGATTTATGAAAGCTAAGACCAAGAATTGCTGCTGCTACAAACAGCCCATGCTGTGGATGTATCCAGTGCAGTTTTTAACCTTTACATTATCTTATTTGGTATTCCACTTACGTCAATGAAACTGGTATTTTTTGCTTAATCTGAGCCAAGCTTAATCTGGCCTTGCAGCCAGAAAAAAAAAAAAAAAAAGCTTTGGATACTTAGGGCAGAAAAAGGAGCGGAATCCATAGAAAGGTCTAAGTGTCACTATTAATTTCCAGCTATTTCAGCAAGATGACCCAGGAAGAGATACCTGCATCATTGTACCAACAGGTTTCACCTGAGACCAAAGTTGGTTAAGCCAGTCCCTGTTACAGCAGTATCATCCTTGATGGGAGAAACAGTGTAATGTAGTCCTTGGCTGAGTGTTTATTTTGTATTAAGAATTAGTGAGGTTCTGAGGGAAGGAGGGATAGTAGCATATGAAGAGATGGAGAAGGGACAGAGTCTGAGAACTGTGAGAGGAATCTGTTCCTTAAATTTTTTGCTGTGTTTGTAGGCCCAGGTAGCACTCCCTTATGCCACTAGAGAAGAAAAATCTAATCAGAGGCTGAGCTTTTACTGAAAAGCCTGTCTTAAGCCATTGAAACTCTTCTGCAAAGTTTACTTCTGATACAGCCATGACTTATGACTTGTTAGTAAAATTATTAAGAATTCTTTTTATTTAAAAATATTTTTTTGTTTGAAACAGAAGCATAACACAAATCTGAAAGCATTAAAGCCAGTCAAATTAGACACTGAGGTAAGATGTCATCGTTTTAGTAACAAATCTTTTAATTCTTTCTTTTGACTGCAGCGTGGGTTTTCACTTGTCGTAAATGTACTTACTATTTACAGGAACAAGCCAAAATTGCAAAACTTGGATTAGAACTGCATCTGCTAACATGTGAAGTAGATTCCGAGACAGAGAAATGGGAGGATCAGGAGAATAGATTGGTGCAACACGTACAAGGCATGTCAAGTATGGCCTACTCCATGTACTTATTTACCAGGTAATGGTGCTGTAGGTGGAGCGTTTTGGTGAGGAGGAGAAGCATTAGAAGTAGTTGGTAGGAACAAGGGGAGTAAAGAGGAGCATCAGTGCACTTTAGTTAAAATCAGCTTTTTTTTTTTTTTTAAACTTAGAGCTGGTTAACTGAACAGCTAACCTTGTTAGTTAGCTAAAAAACAATAATTTTTGAAGTGTTAAATTTCTTTTTTGTTGCAGAGTATCTGTATAAACAAGTTTAGGAGAGGGAAGAAAAATAAAGAAGTGTGTACATCGTTTGCTTTCAAAGCTAAGAGAATTAAAGCACAGGTGTATAACTGTAGCTTAGAATTACTGATCTTTGCTGTTCTGAAAGGTGTATCTTCTGAAATTAGCCTTTGCAAGGTCAGTCTTTTTATTACAAAACAATTCTTCTTATAGAAGAATTTAGACTTTTTTTTTTAAATGCAAGACTGTTTTCACATAGCAGTCTAGTAATACTCAGGATGTCAGACACACAGATTTCTGTCCTTATTCTGCTAATAAGACCTAAACTATTCCTGCCTAATTTCTCAGTAGTGTTCTTTCCACTGAGGTATTTATATATTATCAAATGGGGCTCCCATAATAATACTGTTTCTCATTTGCAAAGGGTTTTTTTTGTTTGTTATAAAGTGCCCCAGTAGATCAATAATACAAATATACTTGGCCATTTTAAGCAATAACTGAATAATTTGATTTTGTACAAAAATTTTGCACTTTGTGCGTTACCTAGTTAAATGACTTAATTGTCCATGTTCCCCTATTCGCTCTAACCTTTGTGTGTTCATTTTTAAGCATTACACTGACACTATTGAAAGGTAACTTTACTAACTTAATTCTTAACTATGAGAAATTGAACATTTACTGTCTTTACTTTTAGATTTTCAAAAGAAGTTACGTGTGTGTGTGTGTGTATTCTACAGTTAGTAAGTTTGTAACAAAATAAGTTTTTCATTCTTGTATTCTCAGTTCCTTTTGTGTGTTGCAGAAATATTTCACCTTAGAAGAGAGCAGAGGTTTAGTTGCTTGCACAGCGGGGAGGGAAGCACATGACCTTATTTTTTTCCTATCCAATAAGTGAAATAAGATTCCTCACGTCACAAAATGTTTCGGGGTAAAGAGCTTTTCAAACTGAGTGGAAGGGAAATGGTGGAGCATTAATTAGTTGAAATGCTCTGCCATTGCAGCATGCGTATTAATGAAAAAAAATCCTTACCATTGCTTTTTAAATACTTGCACAAAGGCAGTTTGTAGCATTTATAACACTATTTTTAAAAGAGTTATAGGCAGCATTTTAGGAGACTGCACCAGTATCTATCATAAATATAGGTATAGTACAAAATACGCTGCAAGGACTTAGGGATCACATCTTGCCTTTTCATTTTACAGACTTTGTGTGTGTGTGTGTGTGGTGAGAGAGCTTATAAATTATTTTAGTACCAGGCAAAATAACCTGCAATCTGTACATGTCATGTAGTCTGTTTTCATTATTCCCCACAGAGGAGAAGGCCTGCTGAAAACTACCCAGGACTTATTTCATCAAGCAGAGGTAATATATTAAAAACAAACAAAATATATTAACAAACAAAAACGTCCACAGAATTAGGAACTCTGAATGAAGAAACAACTGGAATCTTTAACTCTTCAATTCTTTACACAGAAGTACAGCACATCACAAATGGACTAGTGATTTTATTTTTTATGCAGCAAAATTCTGGTATGTACTTTTGGGGAGTTAATATTCCAGTGTTTGGATAGTAGCTTAATTAAGACAATATTCTGTAAACTTTGATAGATTCGAGTTAGAAGTGGAAATGTCAAATTGAATGTCCATTATGGCCAATATAAAAGGACATCAAGGCATTAGGGTTCTTCCTCTTGTTACTTAGCTCAGTCCATTATGGGGTAAATAGATATTCCATCCACCTCTGAACAGCAGTATCCTTACAAGAAAGGAAGAAGAGGTAAGAGTTTGAACAATACACAAACAAACAAACAAACCAAAAAAAAAAAAAAAAAAAAACACCCCAGAAAAGGCCAAATCAGGGAATGTAGGGTGACATTTTAAGATACATGCACGTGCTTGTAGAGTGCTCCATTACTAAAAGTAACTGGAAAGTATTTTTTAATGTGAAATGAAAACCTTTAAACTTTGCCTATGTGGGAGAATGGTGGTTGGGAGAATGGTTGTAGTGTACCTTAGTATTTCAGAGGTCACCATGAAATGCTCACGTTAATGTATGCAACTATTGCAGATCTTTTCTGCTACTCTTACATTATAGTATGGCGCTTAGTAAAACAACAAATAAAAGAGTGAGCCTAATGTTTAATTGTGGTTAATTGTGTTATACTCCCTTTCCTCCATTCAGATTTTCGCTACAGAGGGCACAAAACTTGCTTCAGCTTTTCATGGCGTTTCTGATCAGGTAATGTATGGCTACTAAGATAAGTCTGTCAGCTGAGGTGCAGCTCCCTAAGTCTGTCACCCTGGGACTTTGATGGTAATGCTGAAATGCTGCCTCCTTCAGTAATGTGTAATTGCAGTCTCCAGCACTAAGCAGTTCTCTTCTCCTGACCCCCGTTTCAGCTACATGACGATGGGAAACGGCTGCTTCTGTTGGAGAGTGAGAAACTGGTCCCCATGTGCCAGCAGCTTCAGATCACAGCAAGAACCTCTGCCCAGGGTAAAAGTGCCACATTTACTAAGGTAAGGATACAAAGAAGCCATGCAGACCTGCCTTGTTTTGAAATCCCACCATCTACCCATTTCTGTTCTTGTTAAAATATGAAATGGTTTTTGACAACACAGTGTCTTGGGGTGACAGAAGACAATGAAAAGGTCAAAAGTTAACTTTCAGGCTGTTCCACAGTATTTGTTTTCTGCTATGTGATACCTTGTTGTAGCTCCTTATGTTACTGCAACTACTGCCCTTTCTGAACTACTGCATACACTTAAAGTATTTTGAGAAGCTGCTATGCCAAGTATTGACAGTAAAAACTGTTCCTCTTGATGAAAATAGGTCTATTGGGACAGGTCTATACAGTATTCGTGACCCAAGCAATTTATTGCACTGCATTGTGTTGGGGTAAAAACACCTCTGCTGCAGAACTGTTTTCTTGCTCTTATGCTCGTGCGCTGTGCTTGTGCACTGGACTAAATGGAAGCTCTCATCTGCTTATAGCTATGTCATGTTTCTGAAGGGCCCAACTTTGTAACCTATCCTGAGAGTTAGACAGGTTTTAAACTTGAAGTCCTCAATCCTTAGCTAGCTTTTTAGTATAACTGATGTCAAGGTAAGGCTTATGTGATTCATTACATGACTCTAAATGATACTTGCATGACTTAAGGCAATAGAAAGATACCACAAATTACGATGGACACATACTTTCCAGAGGCCCTTTTAGGTAAATGAGCTGTAATACCTAAGAGAAGAATATTAAAACGCTCATGCTCATAGCTCGTAGCTCATGCTATCAGGGGTCCTTTTGGGGGCAGTATTCCTCAGGTATCAAAATGCATTGTGGAAACTTTCCCCATTGCCAATACTCAAGTTTTTAAACACTACAAAGTTGAGCTGTACTTTTTTTCCTTCTTCTCCTTGCTTTCCAGGTTAATTCCTGTAGCTTAGTTTTCAACAGTGAGGTTTGTATTCACTTATAAACTCAGATTTGTTAGGAGTAGGTTCTTTTGGTATGTGTCCCCTTCTCTTGTTTCCCAGCTCAAGTCTTTTGACCCAGAGACTGCTACTCTAGTGTATTTAAACAAAAAAAAAAAAAAAAAAAAGAAATATTATCCATTGAAACTTGAAAGAACAGTTTATCATTATTTCATGTGTTAAACAACTGCCTAACAGAAGTAAGCAGCGGTGTTACGCTAGTGCAACTCTCTTTTCAGGTTGATGCATGCATTCAGAGAACAAGGAACGTGATGACTCTGTTATGCCAACTGCTTCCACTTTGCTGCAGATTACTGAGAAAGGTGAGTTGTTTCTTTTAAATCAAATAATTAAAAAAAAACCCTCCCTCTTAAACAAAAAAAAAAGTAATAATCTCTTTGTTCCCTTACAGAACAGATTGGGAAACACCTGTCTTAAACCTGCTCCACCGTGGAAAGAGAACAGAGCACAAACTAGTACAAATGCGCGGGGCACAGAAAGGACAGAGATGCTTGGCCTCAAGTCTTTAGAAAATCATGTAACAAATAAGACAATTTTAGAGCAAGGAATTACAGCACTAAAAATGTAGGGGCTCCATTTGAAAGTAACACTTTTTGAAGTTATGATATTGCTTTCATTTGTGGAAAGTCCAAACTGGATTAAAATGATAGACTTTTGTCACAGTTGATATACATCATGTTACTTAACAGATTGACTAGTGTAATTGATAGCTATTTTTATAATGTGAATGGTCCCTATTGATACTAGTTTTGTATATAATGCTTATGAATGTTTAATGGATCTTTCAATGCAAAGATGCTGCTAACAGACATTTTACATAAAGAACCTCGTGCTGAATATACTATATGGAACACTACTGTTGAAGTTTGTAAACTTACCTCTGGCCTATTTTTATCTATCTATTTGATAAAACGGGACCAGAAAAATAATCTGAAAGCCATAGCCTAAAGCACTGAATGTTTCTTAGCTAAGAGTTTTACCTGCAGTGAAATAGTCTAGGAAAAAAAAAAATCAGCATCTGCAATGTTGAGTTTTAGTCTCACTGACATAACTCCTGTTCCCCAAAGTATATTTGCAAATAATTGCTACTCTCAATTTAAAACTTTTTTTCCTTATGCCATTATTAGTTTTAGATCTTTTTGATTAGAACTTATTGAGCGCTGTTTGAATTGTCTGTAGAATTACTTGGGTATTATGTAGACTATTTCATTTAGAATTTTCATTTAAAAAATTATACTGATGATGACAAACTTGTGTATAAAGGGAATTATTTGACTTCAAGTTGTTATGAAAATATAACCTGGTATGAAATACTTATTTTCAAATTTATCTTCTCTTTGTATTCAGGCTCCTGATGTTGTCTTCAGTTCACTTTTCTCATGCTTGATGTCATTTAGTTAAGCCAAGTTAAATAATAGCTGAATCATGGGATTTTTTTCCTGTGTATGTTCTGCTTGCACTGAGCAGAACCATGCTCCCCAGCATAAGAGAAATGTGCTTTCTCTTTCTTTCTCATTTCTAATGTTACAAGTTTGAACATATGAACTACTCGAGCTACTTTATTCTTGTGTGAAACAAGTGTTTAAACTCCACTTTTAAAAGCAGACAGTGGGCCTTTCAGTGCTATGGAAGTTATAAAGTACAAGCAGTTTATTTGCTATCAAATACAGATGATACCCACATACTGAAATTCATGAAGAATTAAGACGTTTCAACAAAACTTCTTCGTACTCCTTCTGTGTCAGAAGTCCTTGAGTTATACTCTTGCTTTCTTCAAATTTGGGTAGAACCACTGCTATGTATCCTTCAGTTGATGGCTAGACAAGTAAGACTAAAGTTAGTACTGAAATAAAAGTTACAAAATACAAAGCAAGGAAAGCTTCTTACCTTCTCTTGCAGAAGAGCTGGGTTATTAAGAATGTTTTCATTCACTTCTATCAGTCGCCCTCGTATACAGCTGTGAAAGTTGAAAGTAGATTCAGTGGAAATGAACACTGAGTCAAGGTAGGAAGAAAAGGGGAAAATTCTTACCTATAAATGGTGTACTCTTCTCCATCGGAGGAGGATATCCTGCACAGAGGGGCAAATTCTGTTAAAAACTGAGCTCCCTGCATTTGGGGGAGAAAAAAAAAAGTTATTTTGAGTTACCTAAGGCTTTTCAAAGTGTTATTTTCAGCACTATAAGAAGACTGTATGCTTCAGAGGAAAGGAGGGAACAGTTTCTAGGTACGGGTCACTGCAAGTTACAGTTACACTGCCAGAAGGGAAGGTGACAGCAGTTACCTGCACAAGCCAAGATGAGGCTTGTCAGAGTTTACTAATCATAATTTTTCTTGTGGCATAACAAATTTGTAGATTAATCAATTACAATTGGCAAGTAGAGGAAAAAAGGCTTAAAAGCCTTGGTTTGAACATCACTCAAAATCACCAGTGACCTAGAAGCACTACTGCACCTAGCTCGGCATAGTCAAACAAGCGACTTTACATGGTCTGAATTCTTTAATTGTGGAGGAGCTGTATTAAAATGCAATGGTAATGCTATAAGTTTCTCCCCTAGAAAGGACAGAAAGGCCAAGGCAGTTTGAGAGATTAAGATGAAAACTGGCCATACCCTTTTTGACTTCCCAGAGACCTTATTTTGTAGTCTGCTGCAGTTGGCACTGATTTGGTAATTAATGCTTTTAATTGCTTTTCCATTCTGAAGAAGAGGATGCGCTTCTGCCAAGGTGATGACACAAATTCTGCAACAAGAGTTACAATTATTATATTGAATCTGTGAAAAGCCAGGCTCTCATATGCTTCAAGGAAACTCCACAACATTCTGTGCCTTTACTGGTAGAATGTAACAAAATTATAGTGATTACTTCATTTGTCCTCATAGTCTAAAATTTTAGAAAGTCGGTATTGTTGGAGGCCCAGCCTTCCACAATATTCTTCCTCTACAGATTGGTAAGAAAGTGCAGTTCATGTTACTGCAGTCTGAGTCACAGAACAAGAAAACATAGTGAGACCTGGCAAGAACAGCCAGTTCTGGGTGCTAACATGGGGTATGAGCAGGGTAATCCAAAAACAAACATCCTATTTATCTGAGCTCAGAATGACGGTGATTACTGACTGCAGCTGAGTGACAAATTTTCCTTCCCTACACTTCAAATTCAGCTCATTTTCCTCAAGGAAACTCACCCCAAGAGTTTGCTGTGCTGGATAAAGTTGAAAAGTGAACTTTGGCGTAAATAACTTAGAGCAGTCCACAGAGAAACAGCTTTATTTCTGAGATACTAGATTGCAGCATAGAAAGAGCAGACCTCTTAGTTAACAAAACCCCAGCTTTTAAATAGGAGCCAAAAGCAAATGTGCTGTTTAACTTAGAGCTATTTTATCCAATATTGTGCGCACTTTGAGCATCCTCAGTTTGTTTGTGTTGTGATAACTGAAGCAGATGTTCACACACTACTTTTGATGGAAAAAGTCTCAGACAGGTAAGGGTGAATAAAAGGGCTATTAGTGGAGAATAGTCACAGCAGATAAATGCTCCTGTGAGCTGGGTCTCAGGTACCCTCTTTGTGCTTCATATGCACAAAGGTAGATTATTTCTTGTCACAAGACTGCAGAATTTAAAACAAGGCCAGCTGTACAGAGCAGGCCTACTGCCACCACTCTTCTAGAACCATGCTTAATATACAATTACATAGTGCCTAGAACTTGCCAATAAACAAAGAGATGACAACATTATGCTTCTGTTTAAGATCCATTAAAAAAAAAAAATGAGAGGACTAAAATTATGTATGAACATAATGCTAACTGCAATGGAAAAAGCAGCTCTTACTCTGCTCTTTCTCCTTAGCCAGGTCATAGTTTCATGGAATCACAGACTGGTTAAGGTTGGAAGAGACCTCTGGGTCATCTCGTCCAACCGCCCTGCACCCACAGGGTCACCTGAAGCACGTGGCACGGGGCTGTGTCCAAGTTAAAGCTCTCCCTGTGCTGCCCCCTCTGTCCTGCAGGCAGGTTCCCGGTGCCCGAGGCTGGTGCGACCCGGCCTGCTGCTGCTGCGGCCCTCGGCGCGCGCTGCTCCACGTGCCCCTGGGCAGGGCAGCAGCGAAGCTGCCTTCCCTGGACACCGGCCCCCGCCCTTCCTAGGAGGGTAATTTGGGGCTGTCATCTAATCATTACAGCTGAGGCCGGGTAAGGTAACAATTTAGCAGCAAATCCTGCATGAGTTGGAACTATGGCTGTGAGTTACAGCTAAATGCACAGGCACCGCAAGCAGGGTATCTCGCACAGCCCGGGGCCCTGCCTGTCCGCATTCCAAGGCGCAGGAACACCGCTGCTTGCAGACGCGTGAGCAAGTCCTGCTGTCTGCTGTTTCCTGCAGCAGCAGCACCTACGTGACCCCCGCTACGAGGAGGGTCGTGCCAACCGCCCCGCGGGAGCAGGAGCGCACGGGGAGCCCGGGCGCTCCCCGCGGCAGCCGAGCGCGGGGGGAGGCGGCCGCCCCGCCACGGCCGCTCACGGCCCGCGCCCGCGGGCGCCACTCGCCTGTTGGAGTGCTGCAGCACGCAGAAGTCCTCGCGCGGCCGCCCCTTCACATCTGCAAAGGCACAAGCAGCGGTGGCTGCAGCGGCAGCAGCGCCGCCCGCCGCCGCCAGCCGCCATGGCGCTACCTGGCTTGTACCAGCGC